AGAGAGAGAGAGAGAGAGAGAGAGAGAGAGAGAGAGAGATGCCTTACATGACAGTAAACTCCTGATTGATGGCAAATATAGTGCTGTCGTCAAAGTCTTTCGTTGACTTCACGTCACTCTCGCAGAGAAGGACTTGTCGTTTGAGTTTTGGAAACGCTATTAAAGACTACAAAATATATGATAAAAAAGTTGTCAAACTCTGAACTCAACGCAAAATACAAGCAAAACAAACCCATAGAGTCTTTCTGAGCTCCGGGTCGGGCAACTCAGTGGCCAATCGGAGGTTTTCATAACTGATCCGATCGTATGGGCGATCATTCCATACAAATAGCACTGCCATCTGAAAGGTGGTAACATCGAGGTCGAATTTACCAGCATTGTTGCTAAACGTTAACTATAAACATAAAACACAAACAAAACTCAATATAAATTGTTTGAAACAAATGCGAAAACAAACTAACGGTTCCGTTGGACATGTGATGATACCACTGAAGTTTGCGGCCGTTGTGTTGTTTGCGATAGAACTCCTCGACTTCGGGTATAATGTCCTCCATTTCGATGGGAAGTGACACCTGGACGCGCTCCGAGCCTCGAGCCCACGCGCCGGCGTTCAGTATCTTAATGTTGATCGAATCGGCCAAATGGTGAGCACCGGTGTTGACCGCCGATGAGCACCGGTTGGCGTTCTTGAACTGTTGGTTGAGGTCTTCGCTGACTTTGATGTCTTGGAACATTCGGCCCAATTTGTTCACATACTCCGCAGGCATACCGACGTCCCGAAGCCACTCAACCATATTCTCCTCCTTCTCGGAATCGGCCGACGAGTCGAGAATGAGTCGTCGGGTGAGGTGTGCCTTATGGTAGCGCATAAACACGTCTTTGTTTTGGATGTATTTCAATACTAATAGCTGTCATTCAAGACATTAGTTTCATTACAAACAGTATTGCATTATTTAAATGGTAGACAAAGTGATCAAATTCTTACCACTTCTTTGAGTTTGGCTTCGATCTCATCAGATGTGAGTTTACGACTGATGGGTGTCTTCCTGAGCAACATATCACAGTAATTGGCCAACAGTTCCGGACACCGGGACTCGGGTTGCGCTTTACTTGAATTGCCCGCAACACTAGTGATATAAATGTTAGATAACTAAAAACTAATCAAAACAATAGCATTACCTCTTGAGCTGACGGGTCGGAAGATCTAATCGAAAGACTGACGTGTCGTTTACCACTTGTTTGAAGGCCTGAAAAACAAATAAAACATTAAGTGTTTAAACAGAGCGATAAAGCGGTCAATACTTTGTCTCGTGAGGTGAGGAACCGCGGGTCGTCGTTGAAGGCC